CTTCGCACTATTGGGGTATACGGAGACTTAATAGCACGTGCACGCCATCTGATGCGTGAACTCTGTCGTGCAAGAAAAACCCGACGTAAAGTATCCACCTTATCGGTCCGCTAAATAATTAAATACAGATATCAATAAATAAACAGACATGATATTTAAACAGTGAAAACAAAGACAAATATATTTCAAACTTTCAACCAAAGACAAAACAAAGACAAATACTAACTTCACAGTGTTAAAGAATACACAGTTTAGCAGAATTGGCAGCAACCGAATAAATTTACTTCAACCAAAAGACAAAACAAAAAGACAAATACTAACTTCACAGTGTAATAAACAGTTTAGCAGTATTGGCAGCAACCGAATAAATTTACTAAGCAATCTAGTGAAATGGTTAATTTAAGTGAAATTACGAGTAAATTTATCATCAAGTTAAATATGGAAAATCTTAAACTTACCTCGTTGCGTAGAGTATGAACCTCATTCTGCAACGATACTACCATCTCACGTAGAGCACCTCACCACGTAAAGTAGACACCTCCACACGCCATGCACCATCGTTATCGAGTAGAGTACCGATCTCCTCACGCAAGGCATTGACCTCATCACGTAACTCCCTGATCATCCCGTGGAGGTGGAGAACAGGGAGATAGAAGTCGTGGCATCTTTGTCGGTCGCCTATCATGAGGTGATGGTGGAGAAGAGGCTCGATGATGTGACGGGATAGGTGATGGCTCTCGTTGTAGAGGTGTGTAGTGGGTCAGGTGATGGCTCTGGGTGAGGTGATGGCTCTCGAAGTGGAGGAAGTGGAGGCTGCTCATTATTCGTGCCATCAAGAAAACGCTGACTAGCTTGCCACCAATCGGTGCAAGCAGCTCCGGGGTGTCAGTCTAATTAATGGAATGTTGGCCTCCTAAAAATATAAAAACTCAAACAAAGTTAAACGTCTACTATTAATAACTTGTTATATGATGTATTTGTGTAACTTACATTATTTATTGTCGCATATGGTATTAAGTCTTCCCAATCCAACAGACGTTCCTCTTCCAGGAAATAGCCCTGGGAATATCATTTGAAGTTTTTATTGCATTGTCTTCATGGCGGGAAAGGCCTCGAATATCCAAATCTACAAACAATAATAACAAACATTAGTAATTGTTAAATAATTAATTATAATTTTGAAACATATTATAGAAATTCTTACCTAAAGGCCAAACAAAGCTGACAAAGTGTATTTCGACCCATCGCCCCGTAAACTTTTGCGGTCATCAAAGGCAGACGACAACTTAGTCTAGGTAGCTTTCCATATACGAACCCCATGAAACAGATTCCATGCATTTAGGTCCTCTACCAATAATATAGCTCCTGAGGAATATGTTGTCTGGCCTCTCTGCCTAAAAAGCCGGCATACAAAGTAGTATAAGGCATACTCGGACAACATCGACGTCATTCATCCGAGTAAAACCATCTTTCTTATTAAACAATTTCTTCATGTCGTCGACGTGTAAGTTCGGCTTCTCTATTGACTCATCAGGAAAAACCCTGGATAACCATGATGGGGGGTGATATGACGAGTGTACTCTCAGCCATGGCCCGAAGCAGGTTTCTTCAAACAATTTTCTTTGTGCAGTTGAAAGCTTCGAAGCAATTGTAGTGGCTAGGGTAACTTTATTCCTTAATGTCAATGAAGCCGAAAAAAATTTCTACAAAAACAATAAACATACCAAGTTAGATATACCAAAAACTACACTGTCAAGATATACCAAAAACAATAAACATAAATAGTAGTTTATTCTTGAAACTAAAATTTGCAACACTGTTTTGTCTTTTGGTTGAAATGAAAATCGCAACGAGATAATGAGAATCGCAACGCGGAAATGACTATCGCAACGAGAGAATCGCAACGCGAAATGACTATCGCGACGAGAGAATCGCAACGCGAAATGAAAATCACAACGCGAAATGAAAATCGCAACGCGAAATGAAAATCGCAATGCGATTTTGGTTTCGCGTGCGATTTTTATTTCGCGTTGCGATAGTTATTTCCGCGTTGCGATTTTCATTCTCAAAACTATTCTTCTTCTGCATTACTTCAACCAAAAGCAAAACAAAGACAAATACTAACTTCACAGGCTAAACAGTTTAGCAATTGGCAGCAATCGAATGAATTTAATAAGAAATCTAAGTGAAATGGTTAATATTATTGAAATTACCAGTAAACTTATCATCAATCTCAATAAAAAACCTAAAAATGCAAAAATTTCAAAATAAAAATAAAAAGAACTAACCCTCGGAGGTTGATTTTCCATTTCTGAATGATTGTGAGGGATTTTTGACTGTGAATGGTTGTGAGGGATTTCGCCGGCGATGGGGACGGAAATCTTCGAAGATGGGGACGGATTTCGCCGTAGAGAGTGAGAGATGGAGATGGGACTGAGTGTTGTGATTTTGGGTTTGAGGTTATGAGTTGCGATTACTGTGGACGGTTCAGTTTCCGATTTATTAAGAAAAAATTCGTGTTTGGAATTTGAAAAAAAAAACGCGTTAATACGAAATGGCGCTATGTAAATCGCGTTGCGAAAGTCAGAATCGCGTTGCGAAAGTCAGTATCTCGTTGCGATTTTGTATTACGCATTGCGATATAAGTATCATTGCGATAGTCAGTATCGCATTGCGATTTTCCCAATTCGCGTTGCGATTTACTTATTCGCATTGCGAATTGGGAAAATCGCAACGACACTGTAGACCATCGCAACGCGATTTCCAACTATCGCAACGCGAAATGCAACGCGAATTTGCGATAATGGAGATCGCGTTGCGAATTAGCGATCGCATTGCGATTTTGTTGTTCATTTTGACAAATCCGGAAAAAATTGGTTAAAATCGTATATTATAAGGCATTTTTGGTCACTGAGGCGATTTTCTCTTTTATTTATTATTATATTATTTCACACTCCAAAAGGAAGTGTAAAAATTGTATATATTTTAGATTAATAATAAATTAAAAAATAAAAATCCATATCTTATTAACTAAATAATTTATAGAGAAAAATAGAGTTGATGTCCATTTTGCAAAATAACTTTATGTAAGTAAAGGTTTTGTCATATTTATAAATGAGAAATAAAATATCACTGTTAAATTTAATATGTAAAAAAATTATATTAACAAAGAGGCTAAACTTTGGTGCATGCTATGGCCTATGAATGTATGAATAACAAAATATCATATCATAATTAAGACTTTGAAAATAAAACAAATAAATTAAAATAAATCCTAAACAAAATAAAAAAAATCAATTGTATCTCAGTCTCTAAAATTATATTTCGTTATCAATCTGGTATTTAAAGAATTTTTATTCAATTTGATTTTTGAATAGGTAATTTGATCAATAATATATGTTAGATATGATTCTTTTAAAAAAAATTATAAGATTTTGAAAAAAGTTCTTAATATTTTAAAATTTGAAAGATATTTTATAATTTTTTTTTTAATTTAGTATATATATTATATCAGGTGATACGCTTTTAAGTGGTTACATGAAATTTTTGTAACAAATAAAATAAAACAACATGTATTACAATTTACAATCGAAAACAATAACGGATTTAGAAATATTTTTTAGGTTGGGCGCATATATATTAATAACAGAATTTTTTTCGTATGAAACAGACACAAATAAAATTTGAGGATGAATATCATTAATAAAATAAACAATTAATATGAAGAAATTTAGATTTCAATATCTATCACTTATTATTGAAAAGTTAAAAGATTAAATTAAATTAAAAATATAATTTAATCCTTAAAAAACTTATCAAAAGATTCTTAAATGAAAAAAAAATCTATTTGGATTTGAATAATTTTGCAGGAAAAAAACAAGCAACCAACTACCTGCCATCTTCATTAACTAATAAGTCCCTCCTCACGAAGGTAAATTCTAATGTGCTTTGCTTTGCTTTACTTTACTTTTGCCTTGTCTCTCTTACAGTACGATACAAAGAAGAAGCAAAGCATATTCCCATATATCAACGTGTACTTACTTGTTGGATAAATTCACTCCTCGCCATTCTTATTCGTAAATTGTACCCCATCTTTCTTTTTCATTGATTTCGACCTTCTTTCTCCCATTTTTAATCTCATCAAAGCTTTATGGCAATAACCCATCCAAAGTAAGGAATCTCTTCTCTGTTTTTCTTTATTTTCTTCATTTTTCATGTTGTTTGTACTTCTAGTACTCCTTCCTCTGCCTCTGCCTATGCCTACAGTTTTCCTTTAACATTTTTCTGAATTTTCTTGCTTTTCATTCTTAAAGAAATTATTATTTGATTTTGAGGATTGCCCTTTTTTAGCTTTCATGTCGTGTTTAGTTACTTAAGTTGATTTTTGGGTAGAGAGGCATTCACTTTCTTCATCTGTTCATAAAGAAACTATGATAATCAATGGAGAAAGTAAGAGTGATTTGTTGAGTTTCTTATCAGGATCTTCAACACATACTTGGCAGCCGATTATGGCTGCCGATACGGCCACCTTAAGTTACTGGTTGAATTGGAGGTTCACACTTTGTGCGTTGTTCATCTCACCACTATGAAGCTCCTGGATTTTATATGAGATGAAGCTTGGAATACATGTCTCAGAAGCATTCATCCAGCTTGGCTACTTAGTTTTAGAATGTTTGCTTTCTTCATGCTGTTGGCGTTGCTTCTTGCCAATGTCGCCGTTGATGGGACTGGCATATTTTTTTATACTCAGTGAGTAATGTATCTCTACACCTATCATGAGCTTTCTCATGATCCTTCTTGTTGCTGATTCTTTTGTAGTAACAGATGTGTTTTGTTCCTGAACAGGTGGACATTTACTTTGGTCAATATACTTTGGGTATGTCTCTTGTACCATTTTGATCATCTCTATTGATCGTTTCGAAATATGATGCTCCTTCGATTTCAAATTGCAAGAATGTCCTTTAATAACCTGTTGATATATCTGCTATAATTGTAGTTTGGATCTGCAATCTCCATATGGATGTCAAAAGCACTGGGAAAAGTTGGTGGCGATAGAACTGATCATATAAGTTCGGATTTTGAAGGCACCTACACACCTCCCATCCTTGGAGAAACTGCAAATGCGTCCAACCGGTCCAAACATTTTGATACCTATGGATCACCTTATTGTCCTCCCAGAGCAGGTGCATGGACTTATGCCTTCAAATCATATCGTATGTCCTAGATTTGCTTATCTGATTCCTGGTTTCTCTTCTGTGTTCCAATGGTAGCCAACTTCGTTATATTTCGTGTATTCGGTAGCAGTTATTATATAGTTTAGATACATAGATGAAGTCATCGTGATTTTACATACCTATGGATCACCTTATTGTCCTCCAGAGCAGGTGCATGGACTTATGCCTTCAAATCATATATCAGGCATGTCCTAGATTTGTTCTGATTAATGGTAGCCAACTTCGTATATTCGTGTATAGCAGTGTTTAGATACATAGATGAAGTCATCGTGATTTGCCTAATGATTATGACGCCCTGTGAAGCAGAGTTTTTGAAATTCTATGATTTCTCCTGATTTTTCGTTATTTCGGTGTCTACCGATAGATTCTGCAGGTGCAGTAATACTCACTGATTCAGTGTTTTGGCTCATTCTTTTTCCGGTCCTAACGGCCAAAGATTATGGTCTGAATTTCGTAAGTACGAGGCTGCCAACTCTAGTTTCCTGATATGTTTCTTCTTTTATTGTATGACATCCTTTTTATCTTGATTTATGTCCACAATGTCGACTGCAGCTGCTAGTCTGTATGCACTCGGTCAATGCCTTCTTTCTAGTTGGTGACACAATATTGAATTGCATGGTAAAGTTTCCTTTTGCTGATCCTCTTTGTGGCATCCCATTTATAGTATCTTCTGATCATACAAAGCTAATTTTAGCTTTTACTTGCAGCCGTTCCCGTTCTTCCGAATCACATACTTTGTTTTATTGACCGGCACATTCGTCGTCTTCCAGTGGACCATCCATGCTTTTATCAACCTCTGGTAATCTCATATTACCATTTTACCGTTTACCTCTCTGTTGTAGAAGGCTTTATTCACATTGCGGTTCCCATCTCTGTGCAGGTGGCCATATCCATTCCTTGACTTATCATCGTCATATGCCCTTATGGTACGCATTCAATCGTCTCGGTACTGCATTTAACTTGCTAGTACGTCCCGCTAATGTGCTACCATCTCCGTTGCCATGTACGTTTGAAACAGGTATATGGGAGTAGGACTGATGCACATCCCATGCTATGGCATCTTTGCTTTGATGATTAAACTCAAGGATTTTGCTTTGTGGAGGTCATCCCCGGAGTCGTTTCGAAAAAGGACATGAACAGAGGGATCGGCGGTTAAAATTATACCGAATACATAATCGAGTTTGTATAGAAACCATTGTCGACATGGTAAATACACAAGATACATAAACCCTGGCTCATTGTCCACTCTCAGAACTCACATATGTTAGAGTAAATGGAAGGCTAAGCTTTGTCAAGCCGTAGGATTCTAGTTAGGAATCTGTTAGTGGTTAGTTACAATTTGTTGGTGGGTCGTTATTGGTTTTGTCGGTTAGTTATCAGTATTTGGGATACGAAACATTGTACTGGGTCTGGTGCCAAACAACTATTGAATCCAATTTGTTTGTAATGAGATTTTCATTCAGGGGCACAGTTCTCCAACCCAGTAGCTTTAACATGGCATCAAATGTTTTATTTCTCAATTTAAAACCATTTCTAGAAAACAAGAAGTTACTTTTTCTAAATCAAATATAAAAATAAGCATTTATAAACTTGATTCAATTGTCATAAGCGATAAAAAGGAATATTATACTTAAATCTATAGTATAAGAACTCATTATATACCTTCTAAACGTAATTGCTCAAATTCATGATATTTAAAATTAATAATATTACTTTTTGTTCTGAAACCACTTTAATAAGTTCTTATACTATATAGATCTTAATTAATTTACTTAGGCACTTGAAACATTATAAACTTTTAATCATTTAATATAGAGTTATGGCACCATATGTCCCCAAACTATGAACTATATTCTAAATTAGTCCTCAAACTTTTGAATATTTTAATTTTCTCCTCAAATTATGACTCTCATTTTAAATTAGTCCTTGAACTTTTGAGCAATCCAATTTAATCCCCAAACTATGACCTTCATTTTAAATTGGTCTCCAAACTTTTGAACCTTCCAATTTCATCCCCAAATGCATCCAAATGTGTAACTGGTTTCAATCATAATTTAACCTGAATTTTATTTTTTAAAAACATATAATAATATAACTTGGCCTAACGATTTTATTAACAATGGATGTGATTAGTATACACATATAGTTAGGGATGCAATTGAAATGTTCAAAAAGTTTAGGGGCTAATTTAAAATGAAGGTCATATTTTGGGATGGAATTGCAATGTTCAAAAGTTTGAGAATTAGTTTAGAATGACGATCATAGTTTAAGGATGAAATTGAAATATTTAAAAGTTTAGAGACTAATTTAGAATGAAGATCATAATTTGAGGACATGAGATACAATTAACTCCTTAATATATCATACATACTTGACCTAGTGATTTTTTATGATTAATTAAACATTTACCCTTTTATAAATACAATTTCTATGTTTCTTTTTCACATGAGCATTATATATATATATGTACATATTACGATAAATGCAAGACTTTTAACTTTTTAAGAGCATAGAGGTTCATACCTTCAGGGGGTGTTTGGTTCAAGGATTGTGAGATTCCCATCCTATGGGAATCCCATATTCTCATGTTTGGTTGGTTGGGAATCTCATTCCCGGTAATGTTTTATTACCAATAGTAGATTTTTTTAGGTATATTACCGGGAATGCCATTATCTCCCTTCCCTTAGGTATTGTAACATTATCGGCGTTTTGGACTAGAATGCCCTTAAATTTTTATTTTTTTCAAAAATATTCTTCTTCTGTCATTGAATAATAAAAATTCTAAGAAGGTTAAATTATAAATTTATCCTTAAATTATTTTAGATTTACAAAAAAAAATCTATAATTAAAATTTTATATGAAGTTCAGGGGTAATCATTAAACCTTTTTTATATTTTTAATTTTGTAAAAAAAATTATATAAATATTATGAATTTAATTTTTTTTAAAGAAAATATATAAGTATTTTACAATTTGTAATATTATACAAATATATAATAAGGACAATTTAGTCAAATATACATTCCAATAATCTTTTATTCCTTTAACCAAACACGGTAATCTTACATTCCTGCTAAACCAACCAAACATAAAATACAACATTCCCAGTAATCCTATTACCTGGTAATCTTTTATTCCCACTGGTAATCTTACATTCCGTGAACCAAACGCACCCTCATAATTTATTAAGTTAATATCTGTTAATTTATCTATTTATATTTTTTAATAATTCCAAATTTATACTATATATAAGTTACGGATTCAATAATTTTTAGATTATGCACTTATCAAAATTAAAATTTTCTATTATAATCTAAACAGTAATTATAAAATCTGTTGAATTATTTTTTTCCATTTTCTATTATTCTATACATGTCATTGAGTTGTTAAATATTAAACAGTTTTCTGAAGTAGAATATTTTATTGAGATATGATTATTTTATTTCTTAAATTTAAGTTAATTTTAAAATGTTCCTTTTGGTTTTTTTGTTTGTTTCCTTATAAAATTGAAAGGAGAAAGGAAGAAAATAAATATTATAAATTTATTGGGAAACATTAACGAATAACCTAAAAATAATTACAAAATAAAACATTAAATACTTATTTTAACAACAACAAAAATTCGATGCCTAAAGTGAAAACCGGTATAACTTTAACACCTACTCCATAACTAATCCCTTAAATACAATAAGAATTAGTTGGGTTTGGCGTCTCGAGAATTGTAAGTGGGAATCCCTTTCCAAAAAGTATGTGTTAGGAGTAGGTAGGGACAACTCCAATGTTGATTTTCTCTTCCTAATTTATTAAAGGGTAAACTATATGTTTAGTATCCAAATTATAACTTCTATTCTGCTGTGGTACTTAAATTTTATTTTATTTTTCAAAAGTATATCTTACATTTAGTTGAAGTTTTAATTTGGTATGTCGCTGTTAAAAAAATAATAGAACGCCTGACATTGTATTTTGTTTTATTTTTCAGTGATGACATGACTTTACTTTATAATGTCACAGTAATATCATCGTTAAGTTTTTAACGACATGATATTAAAATGAAATATAAACTAAACGTTAAGTATTATTTTGAGAGAAAAATAAATAAAGTTCAGAAACCGAAATAGTTACTAAATCTTTAATGGGTAAATTAAACATTTAGTACTTCAACTATTAGTTTTGGTCCGAATTAGTACTTAAACGTTCATTTTTTTTTCAAAATCATACCTAACATTTAATTTTTATTTTATTTTGGTACCATTCGTTAAAAACTTATCGCGTTTAGTACCTGAACTAATAGTTTTGGTCTGTTTTAGTACCTACATTTTTATTTCTTTTTCAAAAATTAAGTATGATTTAGGTACTAAACGAGTGTTGGTACCTAAACTTTCAAAAAATTTAACAATTAAGTTTTTTGTACTAAAAATGAAACAAAAACTAAACTCTAGGTATGATTTTAAAAAAATTATAAGTTTAGGTATTAAAACATATCAAAACTGATAATTTAAATACTAAATAAGTAGTTTACCCATCTTTAATTTTTTTTAAACCAACTTATTGGGAGTATATTCGGTATTTTGAGTGCCCATTCTCCGATGCAACAAAAATGCTTTCGGGTTCCGGGTTATATTATACCACACTCTTTCTATTTACACATTCTTAACATTATTATTATACTAAATTATATATTTATAAATCCAATCATTCACGTGTTTATGTTTTACTCATTTAATTATTTTTTAAAATTATTTTGATCATTCTTTATTAAAAATTAACAAAATTATTGACATAATATTTTTTTAAATGATGATGTAATATTATTTTATAGTAACACATTATTATTAACGTTAATATTTTAATGATAAATAATTAAAATATAATGTAAAACACATTTTAAAAAATAATTAAATGATTAAATTGATAGTGATATTGTCAAGTAATGTTGATTTACCTTAGGAAATGGCTGATTTAATTC